GGCTCAAGCAGTTCTTCTAAACTAAAGAGCTTCTGTCTACTCCTGCCAAAATCTTTGTTAATGCAGGCGCAGCCCAAGCCCTCCTGGTGAGCCTTTCCCTTTTTTCCTGGTCGGGGTCCCTTGCTACTTCTCTGTGCTTTGATTTCCCGCTTGAATAACAGAGTTGGTTCTGCCTTGCGGGTCTTAGTTGTGGCTGTAGCCGTCTCCCTTTGGGCATTCCCAGCGTCTCTATCTGTCTTGGCCACTTTAGAATCTGCACCAGACCTGTGCGTGCAGTGAGTGCTCGGTAACTCTTACTCGAGTTAACTTGATCTTAGTCCTTATCCTGTTTGATTCATGCCTCGGGGCCTAGACTTCCACACGTTATTTTATAGACGAGGAAAACGAGGCCCGGCTAGGTGTCAGGTGCGCAGCCACACCAGGACCTGAAGACAGAAGGGGCCCCTCCCCGCCCCGGGCGGAAGGCCACACCTAAACACTGGCAGAGGTGACACCTCAGCTGGGGCTCTCGCTGACGCCCTCGCCTTTCTCCTTCATGTGCATAGCTGGGGTCAGGGAAGGAGGGAAGGCCTGTTGAATCCTGTGGGACCTCGTGAGTCCCTTTCTGTGATGGCCTGGGGAGACAGAGCAAGGAAGCTTTGCTGAGATACCATAGGCCTTGAAGGAGACCACTACCGGGGCTCCCTAGGGAGTTAAAAGGTGAGTTGGGACCAGAAGATGACAGCGGGACCCAATGCACTGACTTGAACCCTAAAAACTGGGTCTCCTTTCTAAGCTTGGCCCAGATAGACAGGGTGGGGCTCAGTGTGGGCTATGTCACTGTGGCAGAAATTGGGTCTTCAGTCTTGTTATCGTTTCCCTGTGCAGAGACTCATCATGCGTGTTTGCACCGTGAGAGCATTAGGGGTAGATGCCCAAAGGAGGGGTGGGTGTAAGCTGTGGGCCAGGTCATGGGAAGGCGCTAGACCTCCAAGCAGCCGTGGCATGGGGACACAGGCACAGGGATGCTCATTCAGGAGGTGGCAGGTGGCTGTGTGTGGCTGTCGGATGGGGGAGGGATGGTTGGGAATGACACCAGTGAAGACGGGGGCCCACTCAGGGTGTGTCCTTCATCTCGGGAGTCCGGGCTTGTCCCTTGCCAACACTTCTCTGTCACAGCACCTCTAGAGTGGACAGGTTGGAAGGAATGCCCTCATTTCCTCTGCAAGTAGCTGTTTGTTCTTAACATTATTTTCCTATTAACTCACAGGGCGAAGGTGCGGCAATCAAATGCCATAAATGGTATAGGAATGTCTTGAGTTTGTGTAATTTTATTCTTTTCAAATGAAGCAATTTCCATTAACAAAATGTAAAACAGAGTGAGACTAAATTTTTATACCTTTGAAAGAAGTTGTGTAAAAATACTTAAATATATATTACATATATATTTTATATATACAGACAGTATCTATCTCTCTATATAGAGAGAGAGAAAGAAAGAGACCTTTGTAAGACCTTGTTTTGATTTTGAAAAATAGAGAAGACATTTTTTATAAATAATTTTAATCCAAGTATTACGTATTTATTGTAGAAAAAAAGAAAATATGGTTTAGTGGAAAAGAAAATTCTGAAAGTCTCCATCTCCTTTCCCTCAGAAACAACAGTTGACATTTTGCTGTTTATCACTTCAAACTTCTTTCCTTGTAAATATTTATGTATCTTGGTAAAACACAATTATATTGCAATAATATTTTGAAACTTTTTACATCTACTTTGATCTACTTTTTCATATCGATAAATATATTTCAACAATGTAATTTTTAGTTTCTAAATATTACAGGAATATTCCTAAATGCACCACAACTTAACTAGTTCTCTTTTTGCTGGACATTTAGGGTGTTTCCAGTGTTTTGCTGTTATAAACAACACTACAAAGAACATCCTTGAAAATAAATCATTGCGCACATCCTCTATTATTTCCTTAAGATAAATTTCTAGAAGTGGAATTTTTAAGTCAGGGACTCTGCGCATTTTTAAAGACACTCGAAATGCATTGTTGGATTGTTCATCACAAATGTTGTAGCGATTTATACTCATATCAACAGCACTCCAGAATAGCCTTTTACCAACTCTAAGGGGAGATTTTTGAAATGAGGACAATAGAGGTTGAGGGATTGATCTCTGGTGTCTTACAGGAAAATTGAAAGAGCCATGACAACCCTTGTTCTAGTGTGGGAAATCAGTAAAGGGTCGTGCTAAGGGATGAGAGAGAGATTGGGCTTCTCTTTTGAGCTGTCTTCCTAAGATGTCATGTCACTGTTTTAACATGAACCCACAGACTTTTGGGCAAGACGTTTAGGTATCATTTTGAGACTATCTGGTTCCACTATTGTGAGAAGAAAATCCATTACCAGAATGAACTGATTTCTAGGAAGGAACAGTAGTTACAACAAAAAACAGTCCTCCTGTGGTGTTAAAAGCAAAACAAAGCAAAAGAAGGGTTTGGCTAGTACCTGATGATGGAACTTACGGGGAGTGTCTTGCGCAGGGCTGTGGAGGGCAGGTCTTCTGTCTGTGAGGCCGTGTGAACTGTCCTCTGCACAGAACTGAGGATAAAGAGAATTTGACCTAAGTTCTTAGAACTTGTCCCAAGACCTCAATATAATCCATTTTTGTATGAAGAGCATTCCTGACATGCCATTAAAAAAGAAACATGTTATTCTGAAAGCAAAATCCTAACCCAATGACAAAAAGCCATCTGAACTTAAATGAGCGGGTCAGCATTAACCTTCCATATCTATATTCCATTTTCATAGACTAACAGAATGTTTCCATGTGTCTGGATTACACAGGAATACGCACACCTTTCTGTCACCACTGCCATTGAGTTCTTGATGATGTTCTCTTTGCAGCAAAACCAGAGTTCCCTTTAGTTGTCAGTTTCTGTGAACTGAGAGTATGAGTGTTACACTATTGGTAGAAATCCAATACCACCTGGTCAAATTGAAGATGCCTGTGCCCTCTAACCCAGGAATTCCACATCCAGGTACTCACCCTAGGCCAGCCCGTCCCCAAGTTTAGCGTGAGGATCTGGTGAAGATGAAGACTGGGCGGGATTCAGAGGTCTGGGGCGGGACCCGAGGTTCTGAATTTGTAGTTAGCTCCCAGGCGATGGCAGTGCTGCTGGGTGGGAGGACCACACTTCGAGGGGTGAGAACCTGGGTGTAGGGGCCGAAGCTTGGCTGCACGTTGGAATCACCTGGGGGGACCTTTTAACAACCATGAGGCCCGGCTGCCCCCAGCCTTAGGAACTCAGAATCTCCCTGGGCATCACTAGGTTTTCAGTCTCCCCCGGTGACTGCGAAGCAGAGCCCAGGGTGTGGACCAAAGCAGACTCCCTCACATGTACGCAGACGGGTATTCAGGGGATGGATGCTCACCAAGTAAACAGGGTGTAGTCATAGAGCCGTTCCTGATTGAATGTATCTCCATGAATTACATGGGCTACGTCCTGAAAATGTAACACTGATTTTCAAAAGCAAATCAGATACCATTTTTGTTAACTTGAAAAACACATAACAATATATATAGTTGATATGGTACAAGTATTAAAATATGTATAGGAGTGATACATGTATCAACTTCAGGAGAGTGGTTACTTCTGAGGTGTCCAGACTAAGAATGCAATGGGGGGGGGATTCTGCTGGATTTGTAATAAATTTATTTTCTCTGAAACAGAAAAAGGGAATAAAGGAGGGGAGAGAGGTGGAGAGAGAGAGGGAAGGAGGGAGGGAGGGAAAGGAAGAGAACTCCGGTAGTATGACTGTTTCTCACTAACATTCCTGTTTACTTCTATAAACCTAAAATGTATTCCAACAGCGTACCACATGCTCCATTCTTCAGTAGCCTAAAATATTAGTGAGGCCAAATAAGACTCTAAAAGTATTAGCTACAAAGTGACTCAAAAGGACGATGTAGTCCCACACAGATTGTTTTCTTCAGGGTCATTAGAACATCATGGCACGCTGACCTCAGGGCTTGTCCAGAGAACCAGGGTCAGGGCTCCATTTACATGTGAAGCAGCCACGGAAAGGAGCAGAGCCTCCCCCGGCAAGGTCCTGCAGGTTGAGAGAGGGTGGGATTAGAACTCAGGGCTCCACTTCCCTGCCCGGGTGTCTGTCAGTGCTCAGGGCCCAGGGAGCAGCCGCCCCCTCTAGCAGGCTGTGAAGACCCCTCCATGGAGGGTGTTTACAGGCGGGTGGTCCTGGCCCGTGTTTCTGTTGGGATCACCTGCTCCTTCTCCCCAGGGCCCTGCCCTCCGCGTCCCAGGCGCGGCGGTGGGGTGTGACAA